CGTTCGATCAAATTACAATGACTGCCGTTGAAATGAAAGTAGTACAGGTGATACCATGTACGTTACTTTCCATCTCTACGACACATACCTATATCTGGTCCCAGATTCTGGGTACGGAACTGCTTCATTGCCTGCTATCTGTTCATTGGGCTATTGAAATCCACCAACAATCGTTACACAAGTTACTTCCAGGTCACCTACCCATCTGGACGATTCACCCTGTCATTAACCGCCTTCACTCTAACTTTCAGCAGCAGCGCTAGCACGACCGTCTTTCTAGTTAAGTGTTGGACGTCCACCGACTGAGAAACGACCTCAAAGTACCGGATGTCTCTCTTTTCAAAAGCTCTAGGCTAAACGATCTTTACCTCTTCAGAGGCAGTGACATCAAGTGAAGCGGCAGAACATGGTAACAGTTTGCTTAATTCTCAAAACGGTGTACAGACACAGTAAAAAATACAGAAACCTTACATCAATAGCTACATTTGCAGATATTCTACGTACTGTGCTTCTTAATATATTATGTATATGTACAAGTATATAATACACTACATATTGTGCTTCTTTTCACGCTTTCTATATTCACGGAATATACACATTTGATCATAGGGAATAAAAAGACAGTTGCAGCGAAGAAAATTTTCTTTTCGACGAAGTCATCATCTAGGCTGTACATTCGTGTATTTATATCAAATGGATGGGAAAGTTCCAGAACAATTTCTGGTTAGGGGTTGAATTAATAAAAATTACAATTAGGAATTAGAATGCTATAATAAACAGGGGGATGGGTAAAACTCAAACAAAGTAGCATAATAACTAAGAAAATTGACATTGTGCAATTGGGGGTTAGAAATGTAAAAATAACAAAATATACAGGATGTTTGGATAAGAAACTAGTGTGATGAATAATTGTTTATGCAATCATGGATTAAATATGTAGAAGTAATAAAATGACAAAATAAACAGGAAGTGTGGATATGAAAATATGGTAGTGTAGACAGGGATTAAGAAAGCTTAAAATAACATGAATAAACAGGAAGTTTAGATAAGAAAGGCGATGGGATGGTCATTATTAAAAAAATTTACCTGTTTACGATGGCCATGGCAGGGACAGGGGTTGAATGTATTTCTTTTGGATACAAAGGGTGGGTTTGAGTTTTTGGATAGCTAACGCCTCAGCTATGCCCAAATGTCTTGATTTCACTCCCTTTGATAGGTTTGATTGAATCTTGTATATTACTTTGAAGGACTTTTCGAAAGGCGCTGAATGTCCTGAGTTGACCAGATGTTCTGTCACTGAACTGTTTACACGTTTTTGCTCTCCTTTTACCAGCCAGGCTGGGTAGTGTTCACGAGCGCGTTTTCCAAGTTGGCGCATGGTACGGCCGATGTACTCAGCTCCACAAGAGCAAGTGAACTGGTATATGCATGTTGAGGTGGCCCAATGCGACAGCTTGTCTTTCGCGTTCTGGTTGAACAGTTTCTTGCAGGAAAACGTCAGTCGTAGGCTTGCGGCGAAGTATGTTTTCCTCAGCGATTCGGAGAGGCGTTTGCGAAGGATTTCTGCTTCGATATCACCTTTGAATTCTAGATTAAGCAGAAGTATTTTCTTTGGGACGGATTGGACTTGTTCTGAAGTCTTCTTCGGTTTGAGATTCTTGTCTATGAACCTGGGCGGGAAACCGTTTTCCATCAGAGTTTTTCGGAGATTACGCAGTTCTTCTTCGATCACTTCCTCGCTGCATATCTTCCGAATCCTCGAGGAAAGAGCGTGTATCAGGTTCCTCTTTCTGCTTAGCGGTACGAAGCTTTGAAAGTTGATGAATTGTCCAGTCCATGTAGGCTTTTTGTATATGGACCTTTTCAAAGAGTCGTTGTCATTTCTTGTCAGATGGATGTCCAGGAAGTGGAACATTCCGTCGGATTCGGTTTCAAGTGTAAAGTCGATGTTTGGGTGGGCGTTGTTGAAGATTTGAAGTAGGTTTTTAAGGTCTAGCTTCTCTTCTTCTGTGCGTCGGTGGCACAGTGGTTAGGACTGTCGCCGACCATGCACATGGTCCGAGGTTCGATTCTCTGCCGACGCACACCCGATATCTATGGTCGGCCTGCAAAATTTGGGCTACCGATATCCATGCTGAAAATGCCATAC